GTGCGCACAGCCACAATCCGAACCAACAAGGGAACATTTGTGAGACCCTTGTCCAAGCTAGCTGTGTTACCCATAGAATCATAAGGCGTTAGCTATAATTACTTAATCTTGTTTAGTCATAAGCCGTTTTATTAGTGCGTAAGTGCTCTTCTTTTTCCTTTATTGATAATAGCGAGCGTACCACACGATCTAGTTATAATCGCGCGTATTGAAAGCATTATCTTTCAAGGGGGGCGGCGTGTTTAGTATGACATTTATGATTTTCTTTCCCGCGTGTTAGTCGACGCCATCGCATGGCCATGATTCGTGACACTCGTGCACTCGGTGAACTTTAGGGGGCGCTTCAAGCGCCACGGTGTCACTAGCTCGTTTTTCGGTGTTGTTACCGCTCTCGCAACGCTCTCGTTGTTAACCGCCATTGTTATTGTAACAGTCTCACGTGTAAGAGCCAGACTCGGTTCTGTGTACTCGCATCAGTGAATCGCCAATAAATCCGTAAAACAAACTAAGGGAATACAGATTCTTTATTCCTGACCACGCCGAGCGCGAAGATAATTATCCGCGTACAATCCGCGTGGACGCAGGGCGCGATACACCGTCGCTACCCTACAGGTATTAAGCTGAGTAGCTTGTTCAATCAAATCGCCCTGCATGTTATCGCTTGCGTTGACTAATGACGTAGTGCATCTAAATCTTGTTATTTTTATATCATTTACTTGGTCACGTGACATTACATTGATGATATCATCGCAAAAAAAATGTTAATAACCTTGAAAAAATTTCTTATATTACGCTGACAAATTAGCTATACTTTGATGAAATTGCAAATGCTGCATTTTTGCAGATGTATCAAGTTACATTGATGATGTCATAGCCAAAATATGTTAATGTCCTTGAAAAAATTTCTTATATTATATTACGCTGATGAGGTCATATTGAAGCTTGTAAATTTGCTGACGCTGCAATTTGCGGTGTCTGATTACATTAATGTCATCACCGAATGTCTCAAAAATCTTTTATTATAAAAATCTGACGCTTGTATTTTTTGATGTCATTGCCCGGAAATGTTCATATAAATATTCATGAGGATTTTTGCGTAAAGTCAGTCTGTGTAAAATGGCTGACCGTAAATGTTTATCGATCGAGCAATTGGTTCGCAATCGGGAACTTGGTTTCCGCAACGTTCTAACACGTAATACTACTCGTGTTCGATTCATTCAATGAAACAATTTAGTTATACTGAATATAAGAATTGTGTAGTATTATCAACGATTTTTACATGTCAGTGCTATATACTGGATTTCCTTATTCACAAAGATGCCGGGATGCGTAAACAGAGGATTTCGGTTGTATACAGTAGAGTTAGATAGAGGAAATAAAATTTCAAAAATTTGAGATGATGTTATTGCATCAGTTGTTCAGAAGACATGGACTCATACGTTCGACCGTAAGTATTTCATTTGTATCTGCGGAAAAAAAAATTTTTCTATGTATTGTTTATTCGTATATTGTTCGCTACAGTGCACACAGCATTTGAGGAGGGTGCTCGCGCTGACATCGACATACAAATTTTTGGGAATTGAGATCGCCGCGGGACCAATGTCTCAAGTGGAAATTGTGATTAGTGATACCCGAGGTCACCGCATCATCCTGCCGCACGTTCAGCAGCAGCCCGGAGCTTGAAAAATTTATTAAAAATTATATATATATACATACATATATATATATATATATATATA